CCTGCAATCCTGTTCCATGGTTAAATCCTTATTCTACTCACCCACCCACCCACCTACTCACTCTCGTTACAACCGAGGTGGAAGAATGTCCACAAGAAACTGAAAAAGTGACAACCAGAAGGGAAGGAGGCCCTGTGGTAATTTGTTCTATCATACCCTAACTTCCAAATAAATACTCGACCTCATCATTTTTCGCTAATTGTGCCTTTACTTTAAGAAAATACTAATCTCTCTTACCGTCACACATACGTGACGACGTGGTTTTCTGCACGATGCATTAAACAAAAGGGGCGAATAAATTTGATCAGACGTAACCATACAGTATGCAGACATTATTAATAATTTTTTTAAGCTCCAGTAGCAAACGCATTTAACAATGAGGAATGCTTGATAGGATTGATGGAAGAGTGGATAGATATTCCAGAGATAGACGAATCTAGAAGAAGGTGGATACAATGGATGTTGGGATTGGTAAATGGACCTAAATTTGGTGAAAACCAGACGGTTGAATCGGGAAGGGATGAGTAGATTCAAAAGATGGACACGTGACCTTTAAGCGAATTGTCACTGCATTTTCCATTTAGTCCGCTTCTTTGAAACCACCCAAAAATAGGACATGTTCTAGTCAAAGAGTTTCTCCGCCTCTACACCCTTTGCTGCAGGCATTAGGAGAGGGTGAACGGTGAAAAAAAAATGGGAAGGCGAAGGTCAAAACAGACACCGTTTGAACAGCCGTTCTCGTAGAAATTCTTCCCACCATAAAAGTTGCTTCAGCCATGTGCACAAATCGTAAAATTTGTCAAATTCTTTAAAATTTTTCAGATTATAATCAAACCAGCGAACGGGATGGACATTGAGGAAGTGGACCCTCAATAACTGGTGCGATGGTGGCACAACTTGAGACAACTGATTTAACCATCAGACCAGAATGGAAGGACGGAATCGAGTTGAGGCAGACAGAACAATCTGAGTTGGATAAGCGCATCACCAAGATGGATTAATGGATCAGAAGTAGAAAGCATCAAAGAGGAAGGAGGAGACATGGAGTAGATAAATGGATCCATTCCAGACCATTGGACTAGAAGATTATTCGCGGTGTCAGGAGGGGTTAGAGAAGGGTTGCCTCAAGTTGGATAAATGGATGGATGGCTAGGCGGTGTATTGATGGACAGTGGATTTTGATGGTAGATTTGCCTACAAAAACATTGTCAAATGTCCATTTAATTGTTACCATCGCCAAAGCAGAGGAATGCCATCCAAGTTATTCACGGGTGAGAGAGACTACCTCTATTCAGCCGTAAATTCTTCCACATTTTACACCACTGCTTTTGTGTCTGTAAGGAAGAGGGAGGAATTAAGGCGTAACGGCCAAATGGTTTGGCATTTTTGCCACCATGAACTTGATCAATTCCTGGATAATGGCGTACTTTTGGGACAAACTGACCATCTATCTGACAATGATGAATACTTTGGCATTCCGGCCAAGGGCAAGTTCATTCCACGTGCACCAAATTGCAAAGTTAAAGGAAAAATCTGTGACAAACTGATTTTTTAAGGTAAAATTAATAATATAATGATAAAGACTAAATGGAAGGGCGATAGCTTTGAGCTAAAAGGAATGGAGACTAACCAATGAGGAATTATAGCAGGTCTTCAGGTCATGGATGCACTAGAGCTGGAAGCCGATTTGTCAGAGACTCTGCTGTGGAATCACGGTAAAACAAATGACCCGATCCACTGACTCACTTGCAACGGGGTTCCACCATAATCTAGGCTCCAGTTGCAGAGGTTAGACGGTGGTTTTCTGTCTGAGTTTGATGGGTTTAAAGTTGTAACGTCTGCGGAATGGCTAAACAGACTTGACCTGCTGAAGTCTTCAAAGCATCTTAACTTTGATGAAACTGCATCAGTAGTGGAAGTCGTCTGTGATGAATAGTCCACTCAATCCGGAGGTGACCGCGTGCCTTATCGTCGGCCACTAGCCCAGACGTCCGCATTCGTGTGCTGAGGTTGTTTGTATAAAATTTCCTCTATGCCACCACAAACAGCACCAACCGGGCGCCAACGCGTGGCCAACCTCAAGCACGAGATCGCTGTGGGTCAGTCTAGGGATCGAGAGATTTTCCAGATCCATACTCCATTGGACAACACATTTTTTGAAGGTGGCCTGCCAACATCCTCCACTATCGAGGTGTCGCTATTGATAAAAACTGAATGACTGGGGATTCGGCAAATAGCTGGATAGATTGAAGACGTAAAGGGTCTTAGTTGAAATGATGGACGGATCGTTTGATATGAGATGGAGTGAATGAATTCAGGCCGATGGAATTTGGGATTGAAAAAGGTGGACTAATGATGGAACAGGATGGGAGACAGAAAATTGCTGGCTTGATTTGTGGAAGGACTATCACTTAGACCCTCCTTAGACATTCATTTAGCATCACTGCAGCCGCCACCCCATTGTCCCTTCATTTGGCACAAGCCCACAATCACTCCTGGCCCCAGCCGGCGCAATCAGCATTTGCCTCACATCACATCGTTTTATTTCCCTCTGGAATGCACCTCTGATTGCACTCCGGCTTCTCTCCCCCCGGGGAGATAACATCCGACCTTGTGTAAGGTCATTTATTTAGGCTAGCTGTATGATAATCAGGTTCGTTGTTATGGAAGCAAGTTTGGAGCACAGTGATTGGCCATTTCCTGCCCTCATTATTTGATCCCCTTACTTCAGTCACCTTGGTTACTTGAACATTTACACTAGAAGGCCATTTTGAATCGATTTCTAGCCAAATAATAACAGCGTAATGGGTGAAGGCTATTCCCACCAATAAATAAGGCCATTTTACGGTGGAGGGACAAGGGATGAGGAAAGTGGATAGACCATTCACACTAGCATTGACATTATCAGCTGTCCGACTCACACTCTAGGAGTGGGAACACATGGTCAACTGCCATCACTTTTTACGAGGCATTTTGGTCGAACGCATTGCATTCGGTGCGCTTTCTCGCCTTTCTTTTGCAAATGCCAATTACCCCAAGCGTGCATCCATTCGCCTCACTGATTGGTCACCTTAAAATACGCTCGCGTTTTTGTTTGCACGCGCACGCACACACGCACGCAGCTAAAAGAGCGCTCCATTAGCACACACACACACGCACCGATACAGACACGAGTTTGGAGATCGTTGTTCGTCAGTGAAGTGGCGATTCGGTGGCGGTCGGTTGCAGAATGAGCAACAGCAGCACCCTCCACCTTGGAAGTGGCGGAGTTGGGGGCTCCCCCTCTCACCACTCTCGTCACGAGGGTCATAAAAAGTTGGGAGTTGCTTTCACCATCGGTTCAGATTCGTCACAGACGCCAACCATCTCTCTGCCCCAATCGCTTGACATTAAAGACGGCAAAAAGGCCTTCGCCTTGAAAATCGCCGGTGCTTTGCCAAGTGGTGGCTCCTCGCCGGCCAAAATTATCCACGCATTCATCCATGTGAAGGACTACGAGGGCCTGGATCGATACCTCAGCAAGTATACAGTGGACAAGGAGGTGCTAGATTTTGCCCTTCAAAAGGCCTGTATCGCCTCCAATGCTGAAGCTGTGGATGTGCTGGCTAGCCACGGCGCAAATGTCGACTTTGTGGACCAATTTGGCACCACCCTGTTGCACTTTGCCATGCGAGGTGGGGGCAATCCGGAGGTCATTCTGGCCCTCCTTCGGCATGGAATGCAGTGTCGGGATTGGAGGAACGAGGGGCAGAACCTCCTCAATTGGGCCTGTCAGTGGGGCCATTTGGCGATTGTTAGGTGCGTATTTAAACTCTGTTATTTGTTTATTGATTTATCGATTTATTAGTGCTAGTTGGTCATCCATTTGGCACCCTCAATCGCAAAAATCGAACACCACGCAGCGCTCATGCCCCGGTGGGCCAAATCGATAATCCGATTGGGTGCAGAAGTGCAGTGAACGTTAGGGCAAAAAAATCGATTGATCAATAGGATCTTGCCAAAACAGAAAAATGGTTAAAAAAAACTACAAAATTAATCATTGAAACGATTTTTTTCTCTAATCATGAGCGTTTTGAGACCTAAAAATGGATATAAATGACAAAATAAGGAGTAATTTATGCATTTAAACATGCTTGTTTTTTAATAAAAAAATGAGAAAATTTAAGGCCATGTGAGCATAAAATAAGAGCGATTATATAAAGTCGAATCCTGAAAATTGTGCGGAAAATAAAAATCTGCGTGGCCATTTTGGAAGGCAACGCGAGGAGCGCCTGACATAAATGTCGCCATATTTCAAGCGACACGGCAGCTTGCAGTAGTTAAACAAGCAGGGGATATTTATTTCGCACTGGAAATAAGTAAAACGTAGAATACCGACTGCTTTTTTGGGTGAAACTCCTAAGACTACAACCTGACACTTTTAAAGGATGTCTCTACGCATTGGAATGAAGCAGGAGTGAATTTGCAATGCAAATAAAATTTCCACCTTTCCTTTAATCTTCTCCTTCGTCTTTTCCACTTCATTCACGTCTTATTGGCAATTTCTTAGTGGAATTGAAATTTGAGAGACGACAGTCTCCTTGCATTTTTAATGAATTAATAAACAACCAGATTAAAACCATAAAAGTGGGATTCTCACACTTTAGAGGACCAATTTGTTTAGCCAAGTCGAGGGCGTTTCTCACACTCAAGTGCAAGCAGTGAAGGTGTTTAAAGTCGTCTTAAATGGACGAGGTAACTTTGAGTCTTTTTCTTCCCTTTTGTAATCTCACGCATCCACCACAGGGCTTTCCGCTATTTCTGACCAAGAGGGAGGCAAAGGACTTTTTGGCATTCCTCCAGAGGCAACAATTGTATCGATGAGTCCCAGGTTAAAAGAAAAGTCATTAAACCAAGCGTGATGCACCCCACCAATGAAATTGCTTGTAATATTTCAGGCAATTTTTTGATTGGTCAATCCACCAGTAGACAAATTTGGACAATACATCAACCCTGAGTGGTGGACAATACGATGTCAGTTGGCAAAATTTAACAAAAAAATTCTTAGGAATTTCTTGAAATAATGTGGGGAACGTCATTGGTGCAGTAAGAAAGCCATTATTAAAAAAAAGGTTTGATGAAATTGCTGCATTTGTTCAGAATCAGCCTATTAACTAGTTTTTGCAACCTTAAAGATGGACCTGAAATGTTCATCCGTCGTGGCGATAAGGTACTGCCACTGAGAGACAAGGTCATGCCTGGCATGGCATGACGTGACATGATAGATCAAGTCATTCAAACATTTTTTCTTGTCGGTTTAAATAGTCACTCTATAAAGTCTGCTACTGTCCAACAGTCAAAGAACTTTTTCCCTTTAAAAAATGGACAAAATATTTTAAAATTCTGCATTTTAAATATGGTAGGAATTCGGCTAGTTTTAAAAATGTCATCCTGATACAAGTCGTTGTAGGGCAGGCTAGATGAGGGGAATAATTTATTGTTCGCACACAAAAATGCTAGAGGATTGTAAATATGGCCATAAGGTTACGCCATAAGACAAAAGTACAACAAGAGCCGACTGGATGTCACACAAATAGGTAAACAATGCGGTATAATAAAACAAAATACCACATGCTCTCCCCATTCTTTTGATCGTCTTCTCCTCCCCTTCCTTGTAGACATTCTTCCACCTCGGTTCTAATGAGGGTGAGTAGGTGGGTGGATGGGTTCGTGGGTTCGTAGAATGAGATTTTAACCATGGGACAGGATTGCAGGCTGAAGGGAAACCTACCAACTTAGAAGTGGTACTGCCTTCAGACTATCTCCATCTCCTCCTCTGGAAGACGAAT